TTGTCTCGTACATTATAAATATCATATGTACCTAAAGTAACAGCGACGAAGATAATAACTTTCTAAATTTTCTGTAAAGATAAAATGTGAGTAACCCTGTGTATGTGTATTACCCGATTTTCAAACAGACACTTGCAACTGATTTATTTAGATAAAGTTACTTATTGCCATTATCTATTGTTGTCAATCAAATTTCGCGAGCCTTTTTTTATAAAATTTGAAAGCATGCGCGGAAAACCAGCGGCAAGCCTACGCAATACAGACTATTTAATTCTTATGTCATATCGCGCTTGGCGCTGCTATACGAAGGGTTAGTTTATCCCTCCGGTTTTGCAGCATGCTTACGACTCGTACGTGCAACGCAAACGGTATAGATATTTAATTTCAGAATTCCAGAACGAACAGTGGTGTGTGCATGTGGAACATTTAAGATTGCATGGAATATCTATCGAGCAGCCAATGTAAGTAAAATTGATGAAGATTACACGATTGCTAGTGTAATAAAATTAATTCGCGCCATTATTTTATTTTTTATTACGGAATTTGGAATCGGCGCTCGTTTATCACTGCGTATTAGCGTTTTTATGGATGGTAGGAGGCATCTGACATCTAAAATGTTTTCAAATTGATCACACTTTTTAATATTTTCAGCGCAGATTCTTTTCACTAATTTCCCTCTTCATAAAATTTCTGCTCAAAATGTACAGGTATGTAATTGTAATGATGAGTTTTTCGAATGTATGCTCATAACATTTTTCATGATCGACCTTCAATAATAGTATGTAGCAGCATTTAATTTTTAATTTTTTATACGCAAGATATAAATTGCGGTACTGTCAATATCAGCGCGTACATTAATATGACTTGTATCATCTTTATATGAAGTGTTGACGACGTTGACGCCCTCTATGACAACCTCAACAACCTCACATTACTTACCACCCTCTTATGGTTCTTGAGAATGCAGTGATGTGCGCCAAAATTGTAACTACGTTGTAATTGATTTTATAGGAATATATAAGTCCACATTTTTAAAGACAATATCTTTTGCGGTTGTCCCGTTCTTCATGTTACCGTTAACTCTATGTGACAGGTAATTTCCTTTCAAAGCTGAAACATGAAGCATCAACATTTAATACAATAATTAATACAATTTCTTTTTTAACTGTTGCCACGAATATTAAGCGTTGCCTTCCGACTGTCAAATTTGGCAGAGGAAATGCCTGATTTGTAATCCCAATCCAATAAATTGTACCAGATGGTATGGCTGGGAGACCATTAAATTTTTATCTAGCAATAGATTTCGAGGTGTGTGGTTTTGAACACCTGAAACAAACTTTGGGTACGTATCAACAAATTAATCATAATTAAGCACGAGACATCTGTCTGAATCGTTAAAGGGTTCGAAAAAACACACGATTTACATGAATTAACACAGACAAAATTTATTCTAACACAAATCAAATTAATAACAACATTCTACCAATCAAAGTCCGTTTACACACCCCACATAAGCGTTCGACAACAATTAAAATAATTAATGAAATCTTAACCTACTTACAGTTTTCTGTTAAAAATCCTAAAATCCGGGTAAAGACCCAAATTGCGACAGAGAACAAACACACTCACAATATTAGCCCACTGTACTTCTTTCTTTAACTTCTTCCTTCTGTTGTACACGTCTGGAACGTAATTTTACTGCATTGATTTATACTTAGACACGTAATAACACAACAGCCAATCACGCATCCCTTTCTTGTCCCCCGTTACATGTATCCAAATTTTTACGCTAAATTCTCTTATCCTAGATAATATTTTTTTACGAAAGCACTGCGTTTTTTTCCGTTAAAACGTATTCTTATGACTAGTTAATTAAATTCATCCTTTTAACAAAACTAATTAATGTGCCCATAAATTAAAACCGAACTGTCATTTAAATAATTTAACAAAGCAAGATTGATAACAAAATAAACCAAAAAGAAAACAAAATACTATGCCCTATAACATTACCAAAAAAAAATAGGTTACAGAAAAAAATTGAAAACCGTCAGACTGTGGCAAATATTTAATCACTCAACTTTAATTAACAATTTTTTTTGCGATCACCAACAGTTACTGCTCCAGCATCAATGTTCCTTACTTTTTATTCTCCCTGTATATAAGTACTGTGATATAGTGTGACTATTTTTGCTTTTTAAGGTAATTACATTGATTGCAAATTAAATTTTTGTTTTTACAGCCGTAAACAGTACAATATTGCTTACTTTTGACCATTAAACAAACGCTATCAAAATGGCGGTCTTCTCCCAACTGTATTTATTACAATGCGCTGCCACCAGAGGTCTCACTGTTAATCTGAATCAGGGATAAAGAGTTACAGTTAAAAGAGGTAGAGCGTATTTTATTCGAAAATCTCGACGCGTGGTGAGGATATAGGTAAGTTTAAAAGATTGCAAAAAGATAGCGGTCATTAGTGAAGTGGCTGAGAGGGCGGACAAGTCCCTAACGCGGTCGCGGATGAGTCTAGGGAGTGAAAAGAGGAAAGAAGCAAAAGAGGAAGAGTGGTTCGAATAATAATAAGGAAAAAAGAACTTATAGAAAGGATAAACAAACTCAAAGAAGGAAATGAGAGAAAAGAAAGAGAAAAAATAAGGAACACGAAACGAGAAAGGGAGCAGAGATGTCAAAGGGAAGGAGAGAGGGGCAAGACGAAGGAATGGTTAAAATGCATGTATAGGCGAATGTAAAAGAGGCGAGAACATTTGAAGTAAGGGGAAATAAGGTAGTAATCGTAGAATTAACATGGGAAAAGAAAAGGGAAGTTATGAGGGAAAAGGGAGTTAAAGGGGAGCCGGATATACATATGATGAATATGAAGTAAGAAAGGTGTAGAGAAAAATTAGAAAGGTTGCGAAAAGGGAAAGAGGAAAGGGCAAGAAAGTAAATAGATATTTATTTTTGGTCTTTACCTTTATGTGGGCGGGGTTTCAGCCAAGGCTGGTCTACCAACCCAACCCACTGTACATTTACAAACATCCATGCCCGATAACTCGGATTCGCACCAGGGACACCACACCAGTGCACCTCGCAGACCAGCATAGGAAACTAATGCTAGAAAACAAAGACTACAAATTGAGTACCAGAGAAAAAGATCAGTCAGAAGAGAGAGAAAAAGAACGGGAGAGGAAAGGGAGAAACTAATAGCAAAAGAAAAGATAAATAGAGGGGGAGAAGGGCGAGGGGGGAGACAATTCACATACAAGGGAGGAAGAGGGTGATCAGTAGTTGAGACATAGTAGTAAATGAAAAGTACTGTATGCAATAGATGAATTTAAGGTAGAAACAAGGGAAGACAAGAAGATCAAAAAATGAACAAACTCAAAGACGACGGTAGTTACAGTTACGGACAAGAGACAGGGTGGAGCTGTATAGAGAGAGAATAGAGGAACAAGGAGAATAAATAAGAGAGAATAAAGTGTTGAATAATATTAGTATTAAAAAAGCAATAACGTGGAAACAAATCTCTGAAGGGGAGGGGATCGAATAAAGAAAGGAGTGGCGGGACAAAGAAGGCACAGAAGAGAGAAATTTATACAGAAATGATGGAGAAAGGAAGAAACAAGAAATAGAAGAGAAACAGAGAAAAAGTACACAAGAAAATGTGAGGAACTAATGGACAAACAGAAACAAAGATTGTGTGGTAAATTATAGAGGCATTACTGTAATGACTACGGCGTATCGAATGGAGAGAAATGGATGAGAAGAGGATGCTGGAAGAAACAAAAATGAGGTTCAGAAAAAGGATGGGAACAATCGACTGCACATATGTTACTGCACAGATGAAAAATAAATTGAAAAAAAGGCGGAAAATTGTCGCGTTGTTCGTGGACTTAAAGGGGTAGAACAGATGAAGAAAATGATAGGAATATAGAGCGGTAAGAGTGGGAAGAAAAGGGAATGGAGTTAAATTTAGAAAGCTCGAAGATGAGCAGATTTAGGAAAGGAGGCGGAAAGAAAAGGGGGATCAAATGGAAATGGAAGGAGGAGAGAATAGAAGAGGTAAAAGAAATTAATTACCAAATACAAAGAAACAATGAATTAACTGCGTAGATAAAAGAATTAAGAAATAAGGGAGTGGTGTCGATGAAACAGGTTTAGGGAATTGGTAAGAGGGGGTTCAAGAATGATTTTAGAACAAGTCAGTACCTGTTCGATGGATGGTGAGAGGGGTGCTCATGTACGGAACGGAGATATGGGGATGGAAGGAATGGGATGAACTAGAAGAGGTAAAAAAGGAGATAGGCTTACACGGAAGAACACCAAATTGTATATTAGAGGAAGAAGAGGAAGAAATGGAGACAAGAAGAAGAAAGAAAATGTAGAATATGCGGAGAGGACATAGAAGTCATGTTATGGAACTGTACGGAGGTGGAAATAACAGGCAGAAGTAGGGGGGAGTTAAAAGTAGATGGCGTAGATTTTAAAGACAAGAAGGTGAAAATGCATTTGAGATTTATTTTGTTATAAGTTTACTTTGTAAAAAGTTTTTCGGATCTGGGTGTCTTGTGTCATTAACTTTTTTTGGATACTGCAGTACGGTTGCAAAGAAATGCAAAAAGATGGCAATTACTTTGGTTGACACTATCTTACAATATTTACATCCTAAAGGTGTAATTATAATTTACTTTTACTCGTTAGAAATTTCCCACTTTTCTTTACTTGTAGAGCAATTATGTCGCCGGATGAATTATGATCTAAACGACACCGCCGTATTATTTAGAAAATGTGGCCGCATAAAACCTTCCGTTCACTTTCCACGCTAAGTGAATGATGATCCTCATTATTCATATGCTTACTTCCCCCCACAAAGTTGTTATCATCCATATGAAGTAATACGTTTACATGTTTTTCCATAATAATTAAATTTTATTCGAGAAGTTTTTAATGCGACGTTTTATTACGTAAAATGAGATGAGTGCGCCACACTCGTTCCTACAATGTAGTTCCTTTATTACATTCCTTCGTGCAATTAACTTTCCTCTTGTACAGACGCCTTTCAAATTTCAAACCACGCCAGACTGGAAAATTGAAAATTAAAAAGTGCGGCGTTATTAAAAATGGTATCATAGTGTATTTATTTCGGGTTATTCAGAAAAATATTATATTACTTTCTTTTATCGTCTACGGGAATCTATTCGTTGTCAATGCTTGTTTCAAAGGCACATTCCGCTTCTGATGGGCTGCATTTTCTACTACATTAGGTCGGTACCCACAAAAAATTGCATCAAAGGTATGTTTCGGAACCTTCGAGCACGTATATTTTTCCATTGTGCACTGTATATGTACTTACTTTTTTATTTCGGGATTCGGACGTCAAAGCGTACCCTCACTCCTTCACGTTTATTCACTTCAATATAGGTACATTTGACATGCATGCGAGGCATTTCCAGGACATTGGAGGCACACATGTTATAGACTCATGAAATGCACGAAGTTTATTGGACACCGCGAGCAATAAACATCTATGACCTTTGCAATTGTAAATCTCAAATGGATGCCAAAATTTCGCGATGATACGGAAAAGGGTAATTTGTTTTTTTCAGACCATACTTTGTTTGTTCGCCCTAAAACTTGAAAATGTACGAAACTTTTCGTTTAAATTGCGCATTCAGTGGAGATTCTAAGCTTCTTTTAGATTACAGTCACATTCAGAGTGTGAGAAATCCCATTCACTTGAATTTTAAGCGTTATACGAACGAAACTTTAATACAACTAGTTACAAAGAGTAAAATTGTTAGTCTAAATTTTCAAACGGGGCTTGATTTACGTCGCTTCTCAATATAACACGAGACCGAAAAAATCGTCGATTCTTTTTACCAATGCTGCAACCTCATTCAGTTAGACAACCCATTGTCTCAAAAACTGATTTGTTTCGCATTAACTAACACGAAAAGGCACCTACCTACCGGTCACTAGCGCATTTTTCGCGAAATTGCGCGTGCAAAATGTAAATGTGACGTCATGTACATAAACCTACTAAAATGCTGCCATTTAGTATTAATAACTAGAAATTAACGACAACGAAGTCCGAGGACGTAGTATACTCACGGCGTAATGCAAAAACACGGCCGCCACTTCGTTAATCAAGACCAACATTGTCATAATGTCGCTTTTTTGCACCTGAAAATGAAATCGGAAACAATTAATCACAGCAAAAGACTAGATTAAACTCTTGACTAGTGAAGAGAAGAACTATCCTTCCGATTACCACAGTAATTTAACGGTAGATTTATTGTAGACTCATTAAAGGTTTCAATTACAGTTAATAGTGGCTTTCGCTCGAGTTATAGGAGTAAATTGTTGCGAAAAACGCTTTTCGTTTAATTAAAAACAATTTCGAATCAGATAAATAAAAAATATAGCGCATTATTGAGTTCCGGAAATAAAAGGTATTAGGTAATTTATAAACTGGCCGGTCTGTGTACGGTGTTCGTGGTGACATTATCAGAGTTACTACTGTACATTTTCCCCTGATTGCTTTCGATAAACTTTCTAAGCTTTATTATTAATACATGAATTGGCACAAATTGTGCGGCATTAAATGGGCAGTTTTTCACGTACATGATGGTTAATCGCGCAAAAGCATTTTCCATTTTGGATGCGTAACTTTTTCATAACCACATAACGGTATGTAATTTAATTTTCAATTAGATCGATTTAGTTTTTGTATAATTCTCATTGTTGCATCGGAACAATTCAAAATGACACGCTTGCTAAGCTAGTACATAGATTCTGTCCTGTAGTCCACTGGAAATCCCTTTATAAATGATGAGCTTCATTCCAAACTGAAGCCTCTGCTACAGGATATATGAGTGGCACACTGAATTTCGTAATCGAGAAAAAACTGGCAATTACAAAGATTTTATCTTTCTAAGCCAGTCTCAGCTTTTTCCTCCTCTTGAAGGGTTTACGTCATTATTTGAAGGGAATATTGCAAAACTAAAAATTACAATCAATTCCATTGCAAATGAATTTCACTTACTTTACTTTTGTGAAATCCAAAGCGTTAGTTCCATATAAAAGCTTTGGAAGTTAAATATCTATGAGCTTGATAGTTGTGAAGGGCATAACAGAAAAGTTTTTGAATGATTGATTGATTTCTGGATTTTTAGTAGCATCCACCTCTTTATTGTAGAACTGAGTCGCCGGTAAAAAGGCAGACTCATGTGTATTTGCAAACCACTAAAGGTTATTTTTTATTATTGAGGTCCATACGCCATCCAAAAGGTATTCTTTCGCTTTTTTTATTCAATTTATTCAAAACTGCTTCATCTCGCAAAATGTTCTGATTCCGTAATATCTCTTTATATTTCTTCCAAAGCTTCCTTCAATTTAAAATAGTACTAAGTATTGAACATTAAGTTGTGTTCTCTCATTTTTGACATCATTTCTTTAAAAATTGACTTAAATTTCTCAAAGCTTTCTTCTTAGTTTTTATTAAAGTTTTTCTCCATTTCATCCCTAATATTATCTTCACAGTTTTCTACTTCCTTTTTCTTGCATTGCTCAAATTTGTGTTTTCGTTTCTTTAGATTTCCCTCTGATTTCGTCATATATTTCCCGAGAAGCTTTTCGCCAAGATTCATTTCCGCTTATTCTCGTTATACCGAGTATTCATCTAGAGCTTTCTCAAAGCTTCTTGCATCACTTGAAATTTCCTCAGTTTCCAACAAATTAATTAACAGTATTGTTGTGTAAACATCATGTAGACGTTATTCTGGTATAAACGTAAAAAATAATGACGGGACACCCTGTATGTGCTATTATTTTACCTCATTAAGTTATTCACGAATAAACACATACATAGTTGGTATATTTTATTTGAATTTGATGTGTCAGTGCCCATTTTTCCTTTTAGAATTGCTTTTGTAAATTATTTATTTTGATACCGCCTCTCCTGCGCTTGAATATAGCAAACTTTTTTACGACCAAATTATTTGGATTACTAGAGAGAAAAACATCGAGTTGAAAAAGCAAGTAAGTAGAAGTAGTCCACAACGAGGCATTTCGTATTAAAAATTAAGTTTTTACGGTCCGAACAGCTGCCGAAAATTTTTCATCAAAACACAACAAGCCAGAATTTGTCATCAAGGTCAGTGTTATCAAGAACAAATGAAGTTTCTTGAAACTGTCAGCAAGTGTTTTTGTATCAGTTTTAGTGTACCGCAAATCTTGTACGACCAAATTATTGGGATTATTAAGAAGAAAAAACTGGATACGGGGTCTAAACAAACTTTGTTATCTTTTCTCTCTTACAGGGATTTTGTTTTAGTTATTCATGTGTTTCGGAATACATTTTTGTGGTTGTGAACAATTAATTGTGTGTTTATTCTTGTCCTCTGTGTGACCAAGATTCAGATTTTCCATTCGTGTGTAATAAATTCTTTGGAATTTTGGTTGATCGAGGCCACCGAGTCTCAAATTGAAAATTTTTTAAGCCAATAGGATTTTTTTTCTAATAGATGCCAGATGCGTACGAGTAGAGATGATAAAAAATAAAGTCTCAATTTTGACTTGTTTTGAGCTAGCTGGACAGATGATTTGGGGGTGGTGTAGTGACTGCACCCCATTGCACACAGTAGTATTTATTTAGATTCTTTTTGTTTTCCAAAATTCCTTTGTAATTTCTCGGAATTTTCTTTTCTTTTCTCGTCGTTTCCCACAAATTTCTTCAATCCAAAAAAATCTTTTTCCTTAGTTTCCTTTAATTTTACGAGTTTGCTGCATTGTCACAAATTACCATAATTTTTATACGACTCACCTAAGACTTACCTTTTATTTTCTCAGATTTCTGTTCATTCGCTCGCTCAGAATTGGCTTCTATTTCTCTAGAAAAAATTTCTCTTAAAAAGTGTCTAAATTGTGTAGTTTTTGATGCTGATGGATATTCCGATGATATTAAAAAAAAGAAATGGTTTCGTAGATAATTAGAAAAAATCTGAATTAGTTTAATACTTCCTGGAAGATGGTTATAGAAATATATTGAATTGTAATAGGTGCCTCTCCTAAACAATGAAAGGTGGTATTCAGGTATCCCATAATTTATTTTATTTCTCGAGAGGTAGTGATGGTTTAGATAATTAGTCCTAAAGTATTTACAATTTTTAAATAAAAAGATTATACATTTATATATGTATAATTCGTATACCAATCGTTAAGAGCCTGTTGTACTTGCTCTATTTTAGGAACAATGAGAGCTATCAAAAAAAGTGTCAAATAAAAATTGCAAGATGGGATAAAATGAATGGCTGTAGAAAAAATTTTTCAAAATGGCGGTTTTCGAGATATTGACGTCAACCTCCTTATTTTAAATGGATCATCATTTTGATACAGTTTTCTCTTTCCAACCATGTCTCACAAGTTATCATTCACAAAATAAACATGGGTAAAATTTCTACACGACATAACAGAATTTCCTTAAAACCTGGCACTATTTTCTAAAATTTCAGAATTTTCTTAAAATTCCTACTAATTTCGTCAAAAGCTTCCTGCGATTCTCTAGAATTTCTATTAATTTTGTCAATGTTCGTTGCGTTGAAGTAAATCTTATCTCCATAAAATCGGTAGAATTTCATCAGACTTAGAACATACCCCTATTTCGTCTAAATGTCCTTAAATTCCTGGAAAGTTTTTTCGTCCTCCAAAATTTACTTCTGTACTAATTCTACATAATTTCTCGCAGAGCTCGTTTATTTCGCCAAAGTTTCCGGAGAATTTTTTCTTATCATAAGTTTCCTTTAGTTTCCCTAAATTTCATTTTAGATTACCCCGGAGTTAATTTCCTCAGTATTACTTAAGTCGCCAATTTTTATCTTAGCTCAACCTTATTTTTAAAAAATCATTCCGGATATTACGATAGCGCCCATAGGTAGGTATACTTATTGAATAGAAGTATACTGTGTGCTACAACGACCAAATTTGAATCAAAAACAACACTTTTGTTAATAGTTCACAAAGGGAACATTATCAAACATTTTTTTACATAAAGAAGCAAAATCCGCAAAAAATAAATATCTGTTATGCAAATTTGAGCTGTCTATCGAGAATAAGCAAATCAAATGGAAATTTGCGTACATTCTCCTTAGAAATATGTGAAAACTCGACGTTTGATTATAAATTTATTGATTTGATCCGTAGGGACTTGGAAACGCAAATTATACGAAATATCTTTGAAAAATAAATCACGTTCCTTTAGAAGCACGCAGTTATTGGGTAAACTTATTATAGAGT